GTGGTGGTTGGGATCAGGGTATGGGGTAAGAGTGCAGCTGCGCATGCCCTTTGACCTTTGGGTAAAGCAGCAGCCTGTACAGGACTGGCAACAGAAAGCAGACACAAGGGGTCAGCTCAGCTCTTTGGTTTCAAAGCAGCCAAGCCCTGCCCCCCAACAGGAGCTGCTGAGAAAAGAATGGAAAACAGTTTCCAAGGGGAAACTGGTGTTTTCTGAAAACTGCTCTCCTGCTCCGCCTCCATGTGTTCCTGCAGTCCCACAGCAGAAATGTCTGGAAAACAATGACTCATGTACTAGACAGCCCTTGGGCCCACCAAGGCCATGCCCCCGGCCTCCTGAGCTGCCCTGGGAAGGACCGGCATCCTCAGAGATCTTGCTGGGGATGAGACTTCCCGAAGGGGCTCTCTGTGATGCTTGTTATGTGTGTTCTCTGAGCCTCACAGGGCAGAAGAGCAGGGGAGCTCTTCTCCGTGAACACACAGGTTTCTCAGGTAGCATGGCCTTCAGGTGTGGCTAGATCCAGTGTCTCCGATTAATATCCTTAAGAATCTGCCTTTCGCTGTCTCTTAGCCCTGCTTTCCTGTTTTTGGCGTCACTCACAGACTCCATGTGGAGACCAGGCTGCTGCCACCAGCTCCAGACTTACATCAGCTGTGCTGCCTGTGGTTCTGGAGTTTACGAGAGAGAAAAAAAAAAAAAAGTATTTCAGGAATTAACTCCCTGTGGCTCTGATTGCATCACAGATGATCTGAGTTGGTCCCTGTGCTCAGAGGTGTGTGGTGTTCTGATTGGTCAGGCCTAAGGTCATCAGGGGTATCATCAGCTCTTCCCTAGTCTTTGAAGACCAAGAGTTAACAGTGGGGTGGTTGCCCAGGATAATCAAGGTGGTATTGCAGGAAAAGTACAAGTGGGCACTGGGCAGATAGGTACAAAAGATGCTTGCCCTGGGCCTAAAAAGGTGCTGTAGGAACCCTGGGAAGAGTCTAGGAAGGCTCCCCAAAGGAAAGGACGTTTGGAACTGGGTGTTGAAGGATGACTAGGAGTTTGCCAAGTGACAGCATAGGGGCAACGCTGAGCTTGCAATCCAGTGGGTAATGAAGCAGGCGTAGTAAGCAGGAAGACTGATTGTTGCTCATATGTCCCATCTCTGTGTCTAGTGATGGTCCCTTCTGCCGGATCTGCCATGAGGGAGCGAATGGGGAGAGCTTGCTGTCTCCATGTGGCTGCACTGGCACACTGGGTGCTGTGCACAAGAGCTGTCTGGAGAGGTGGCTTTCCTCGTCTAACACCAGCTACTGCGAGCTGTGCCACACGGAGTTTGCAGTGGAGAAGCGGCCCCGGCCCCTCACAGAGGTACGCTTGGAGCCTGAGGTTGGAGTGGGCAGAGGGGAGAAAGGCAGACATGGGCCCGGAGGGGGGAACTGCGCTGGAGGATCCTGTTGGACTGGGGAAACAGCTTCTGTATAGGGTGGACGTCTCTCTACCCTTCAGTCCGGGGTAGATTCCGCTGATGGGGGTGGGGAACCAGGCCTGAAGTTCCAGACCTGACAGGCCCTGTATCACTGATTTGGTCATTTCATGTGACCCCTGAAGCTGAGACCTGAAGAATGAAAAGGAGCCAGCAATGCCAAGAACCCAGGGAAAGGCAGTCCTGGCAGAGGACACAGCAAGTGCAAAGGCCCTGAGGCCAGGAAGAGCTTGGTGTTCTTGACAAAGCCCAAGTGGCTGGAGTGGAGCAAGTTAAAGCAGGAGGAGAGTGGCCTGTAAGAAGGGGGTAGCAGCCACATTGGGCTTTGTGGGCTGTGCCCGGGAGCTTAGACTTTAGGCTGAGTTCAATGGGCCAGGGTTGAGACAGGGCATTCCCAGACGTGGTAGCTACCTCCCTGCTCCCCAGAGCCCTGTTGGCAGCTTGGATGCCCGCTAGGCTCCTCCCTACCCAGCTTGGTAGGGGGTGCCTGAGAGCTGCAGGGTGATGTTACTGGGCTCCTGGAAAGGCCCCTGGCCCAGCTGGGAGCTGGGCTCTTAGAGAACAGTGGGAGGTAGAGCTGACTGCTGCCTATACCCCACTTCTCCCTCATGCTCCAGTGCATGGGCTTCCTCCTCACTGTACTTTGTCCAGTTCACATACTCCCTACTCAGGGCCTTTGCACCTGCTGTTCCTGCTGCCTGGAGCGCCATCGCCCCCATTCTTCATGTGGCTCCTTCTGCCCCTCCAGTTCTCCTCAGTGTCACCTCCTCAGTAAGGCCTTCCCCTCTCTGACCACCTGCCCCAGTTCACACCTCACCCCACTAGCATGGGAGCTCTTGGAGGGCAGGGACCCCTTCTGTCCCATTCACCAGAATTTCGTGAGTGAAGCCCATTTCTCTTGCCCAGTCATCTGTGGCAGGCAGTGTAGCACAGCAGTCAAGGGCAAACAACCCCTGGGGCAAGACTTCCTGGCTTCTAGTCCTGGCTTTGTGGGCAACTAGCTGTGTGAGTTTGCACAAATGAGTCAGCCCCTCTGTACCCCTCAGCTTCCCCATTTGTAAAATGGGACAAAAATGCCCAACAGGGCCTGGCTCATCGTAGGTTCAATAAGTATTTGAAGGAAGGAAAGGAAGGAGGGAGGTGCCAAGTAGGAGGAGGGAGGTGCCAGGTAGGAGGCTGGTCCTGCAGGGGTCAGGGACCGTAAGGGAGGGGCAGGCTCTGGAGGTCCCATATCCCATCCCCAGGTGGGAGCTAGCGAGAGAGGGGTGTTTGTAGCTCCTCTCAGCAGCTCCCACTCCCNTAACACAACAGAATTTAACTGAAGTCAATGAGCTGATCTATATATTAAATAAAAGCAGGGGCAGGAGGGGAAAGGAGTATTAAGGCAATTCTCCCACTTCAGGCTTTTTGCATGTGCTTGAACTCTTTGCCTAGGATTTCATCCCCTCCTTTTCTTCTAGTTAACCTCTACTCACATCTTGTCAGTTCAATTGATTCATCTTCAAGGACATATTTTTGGGCTTTCCAAATTATTCTATGATATGCTTCCCTCACTTGCTGCAATTTTTCACCTTTGTAATTAATAATTAACAACATAATTGGTTGTTTTATGTCTGTCTTACTCCTTAGATTGAGGTTCATGAGGGTAGCAATATTTTTCTTACTGAACATTGTGTCCCCAGAGTCTAGCACAGTGCCTAGGTCATAATAGGCCCTCTTATTGATATTTGTACTACATCTTGTGAATGAATCTATTGCATGAATGAATGATTAATAAATGATGTTGGCTTTTGGCTCTTCCACTGCCTCCTAACCTCTCTAGGCTTCTGTTTCCTCTCTGTAAAATGTGACCATATGGTGCCTCTCTCTCCCAAGATTGATGAAAAACGCAAGGGAAGTGATGAACACTCAAATCCCTCTGACAGGTGTCAAATTCTGTAACGGTTTTATTAACAAGCTCTGGTCGTCGGCAGGTGGCGCTAGTAGCCTCCTACCCCGTGCCCGGATGGGGCGGAGCCAGGACTGGGGGGGGAGGAACCAGGACGCGGCAGGGGCGGAGTCAGCAGCTGCGGCGCCGCTGGGCCTGTACCGCCCAGGACGTTCCCGTCGCCTCCGGCCCCGCCTCCCGGGGCGGGACGTGAACGGCTATTGGCCAGTGAGGGAGACAGGCGGTCGCAATTGGCCCTCGGCTCCGTCTGCTCGGCGGGCGGTGTCCGGACGCAGGTGCCAGCAGGAGCGGAGCGAGCAGCGCTGACTGGACCGGCCGGGCCGGGACCGGGACCCGGGCCGGGGCGAACGGAGGGGCCTGAGCGGCCTCCCGGCCCGGCCGCGGATCAGGTAGGCACGGGCGGCCGGGTGGGGCCGGGGTCGCCGCTCCGTCGGCTGATCCCGGGTTCGAGGCCCGAGCGTGGCCCCTGGCGGGACGACTGGGCTCGGACCCTTGGCCTCAACCTTCCCTGGGACGAGAGGATCGCAGTTCCAGTCTCAAGGGCGGCAGGAAGTCTACGAGTCATGTTTTCCCATCTGTGAAACCGGGTCATCCCAGCGCCAACCTAATGGGGCTGTTGGGAGGATTCTGGAGGTGGCAGATGAGTAGTGTCAGACACACAGTAGGCGGTCAATAAGTGGCCAGTGTCCTTTCCCAACCTCCTTCTTAAAGGGGCTCTGCCTGGAAAATAGTAAATATTATAGTGAGCCAGGCACCGTGTAGAAAGGACTTGCTTAGCTGAGTGCCTGGCTGTTGGTGGGTGCTCAAAACAGGTTAACCAGAATTTATGTCATTAGCTCATTTAATCCTCTAGGGACCATAACAGGTGCAAGTACTAGAAATGTTTGTTATACAGATGAGGAAATGGAGGCTCAGAGAGGTCAGGTTTTGGCCCAGGGCCACAAAGCAAATAAGAGCAGAGCTGGGATTAGAACCTGGCTTCCAATACAAAGCCATGGAAGTACTGAAGGGCACACTGGAGCCCCTCTGGTTAGTGAACAGGCATGAATGCATTTCACAGGCTCCACATTTATCCTTAAAAAAAATAACGGTGAGCATTTATTGAGCACTAACTGTGCCAGGCACTGACTGTGCCTTGTCTCATTAAACCCGCTCAACAGCTCTGTAAGTGGATGGCGACAATTATAATAAAAGGTAATATTTATTGACTTCTTAATATTTACGGAATTTTGAGCCGAGTGCCATTAAGACTCCCATTTTACAGATGAGAAAACCGAGGCCAGACAATGAAGCCGCTGGCCCGAGATCATACTGCGGGGGATTAGGGCCCTCAGACTTCTCTTCTGTTTCCTGCCTTCAGAAAAAGAAGGCTGGGCAGGTGTGGAAAGGCTGTGGTCCCCCAGTGCCCTCCAACAGGCCTAGACAAGGATGAACTTCACTGGAGAAATTGAGCCTGGGAGCTCCTTCTCGGGAAGCCCCTCAGCAAACACAGTCAACTTATTTGACAGAAGAGAAGGATGAGGCCCAGAGAAGTAAAGTGACTTGTCCCAGGACACACAGCATCAATGACAGAGTCAGGACTTAAAAGAACCTAGGTCTCTCGAGTTCCAGACCCACTCACTGGACTAAATTAAAATTCTAGCACTGTTCCTTCTTAGCTGTGTGATCTTGGGCAAATAGCTGCCCCTCTCTGATCCTCAGTCTCAAATNTTTTTTTGCTGTTATGAACAGAGCTTTGGGTACCACCCATGTGCAACTGTTTCTTGGAACTTGCTTAGTGAAGGAGTATGAACCATTAATATTTATTTACAAATAATTTTTTATAGACTTTGTTAGAACAGTTTAAGGTTCACAGCAAAATTGAGCAGAAAGTACAGAGAGTTCCCATATATTTTCCCCACACACAGGCACAGCCTCCCACACTGTCAGCATGGCACCAGAGTGGTACATTTCTTATAGTTGATGAACCTACATTGACATGTACATTATTATCATCCGAAGTCCATAGATTATATTAGGGGTCACTCTTGGTGTTGGACGTGCTATGGGTTTAGACAAATGTATCATGACATGTACCCACCATTAAAGTAGCATACAGAATAGTTTTACTGCCCTAGAAAGCCCCTGTGACCCACCTATTCATTCCTCCCTCCCCCAGCCCCTGGTACCCACTGATCCTTTTACTGTCTCCATAGTTTTGCCTTTTCCAGAATGTCATAGAGTTGGAATCATAGTTTGTAGCCTTTTCAGATTGACTTTTTTTACTTAGTACCATGCATTTAAGGTTCTTCCATGTCTTTTCATGGGAGCTAGTGGGAGAGGGGTGTTTGTAGCTCTTCTCAGCAGCTCATTTATTTTTAGCAATGAATAATGTTCCATTGTCTGTATGTCCTAAGTTTATTTATTCACCTACTAAAGACGTCTTGGTGGCTTCCAAGTTTTGGCAATTATATGATCCACTGACATTTAATCCCTTCCAAGAGACTATACCACTTCACTCCCACCCTCTGAGAGACCCCCTCACCTTTGCAGGGTCCTGAACACTGGTGAGCATTTTCCCAGGAGAGTGAATGGGTGTGTGTGCACAGTCTGTATGAAAATGCCCAGAGGCTGACTCTACTTCTGGAAGCGAGAGCCCCGGCCCTGGTGCGGCCGAAGGCCGGAGCCTCAGGGACCCAGTTTTCCTCTCTTGGGGGTGGACGCTCCCAGCTGGCCTTCTCACCCGTCCCTGCACTGCCCACAGGTCTCCTTCCGCTATCATTGCCAGCTATACACTGAGTGGAGGAGGACCAACCAGAAAGTGCGCCTGAAGATCCGGGATGTGGATGGCTCCGAGGCCACCCAGCACTCCCCGCTGGCAGCTGGACTCCTGAAGAAGGTGGCAGAGGAGACACCTGTGTAAAGGCCCAGCTGGCAGGGCCAGAGGCAGCTGGTGATGCCCTGGTGTTTGGAAGGACGGAAACTGCCCGACTATTCCTACAGGGCCAGAATGCTTCTTAGGCCAAGAGCTGCCAAGCGGAGCCGATTCTGTGATCCTGTATGAAGATGTCTTCAGATTGTTTTGCACACTATTGTACACAAAGAGGACAGATGGATGTGGTCCTGAGCTTCAGACGGAGCAGGCACTCTGATCTCATTCTGAGGTCTACTTGGCCCCTTGTGGGCCAGCAGCCCTAGCCATAGGTGAGTCGAGGGTGCCCATGGGGTGGGGGTCCCGCAAGCTTCTTGCGCTTCTCTGCACCTGGCAGGCTTGCTTTCCTGGCACCCTTGACTTTATAAAGTTGCACCGTGTTTCACAAACCCACCCTGAATGAATAAAAGGAGCCCTTGCTGGATAAAATGGACTTGTCAATTACATTTTGGAACCGAGGCTTCAAAGTGAGGGACCTGGGACCAAGGGGAGTCAGGGACCACACAGAGGTTTAAAAAAACGCAACGGGCTGGTTTGAGGGATCTGTTGTGAAACACAGCAGGTCAGGCCTGAGTTTTCAAGTGAAGAGTAGGTAGCAAAGTTATATAATAAACTTTTTAAAATGTATGTAAGAACAGTTGCCACTTACTTTGCATCTACTGTGGGCCAGATGCCATTCTGGGCCCTTTACACTCAGTAATAATTGATGTGCACACTTATCAAGGGTCACCCTGGATGGGGCTCAGTTTGGAGCCTTCACAGGCTTCCTCCGACTTTCACTGTCATCCTCGGTGGGAGGAATGGCTGTTACCTCCACTTCACAGATGAGAAGACTGAGGCCCAGAGCCGGGAAGCCTCTGTCTAAGGCCCCACAGCTTTAGGAAATGGAGTTGGGACTGACCACAGGTCTGCGTGGCCCTAGTGCTGAGCTTTGTGCTTCCCCTTCTGGGAGGACTCAGGAAAGGAGAATGGTCATGCTAATAACAGCACCCACTTTTTGAGCATGTTCTGAGCCTTTGACATTTGAGAGCTCTCTGCATCGGGCCACATTTAATACCAAGAGCAGCTCTGAAAACTGGGTTCTGGGGTTCTCATTAATTCCCTTGGCAAATGAGCAAACGAGGCTCAGAGCAGTGGGGTCGCTTGCCCAAGGTCACACATCCCTGATGGGCCTAGCACAGTGTCTGGCACATTCTATTGTTTTCTGCATGAATTCCTGTCTGGTCTGTGGCTCACCCACAGAGGAAGAAAAACCCTTTTACCTCAGACTAGAAGGGCAAGGGGAGGCCAGCTTAGCTGCGGAGAGGTGGGAACAGCAGAGATTGGCCTAGGGGTTGGAACCTGCATGGCCCATCGAGGGAGCAGCAAGACAGACAACAGTGCTGGGG